CCACAATTACACGTGTTCGCGGTGCCTGTCTGGATGGAAAGTCTTGGTTAGGTGGTGCTGGAAGCTGGGAGGATTGCAGGCAGGTTTGGCGCTGCTTTATGTTAAGTGCCATGCAGCGGTGACACCGCCTCTCCCCTTGCCCCCCACCCTGCTCTGAGCTTACCATCTTATGGACACAAGTTACGTAAGAAATAGATCTGGGGGGAGTCAGATACAGCTATATTGGCCTGGCAGGTGTCCTGCTATGATATAGCCCGGGGTGGGCAATTATTTTGGGCTTACCGAGTTTTGGCAAGCCATCGAGGTCCGCATGACAGTCAGCCACGGGCAGATAAATATTAGTTTTCTATATTTTTTAGGGGCTCTGCGGGCCGGATAGAATGGCCTGGCGGGCCGCATCCAGCCCGCGGGCCGCATTTTGCCCATCCCTGATATAGCCACTGGTCTTTTCAATGACTTTAAGAACTCCTGCATATATAGTGCTCTCTTAGGTATATCTTTCTATGGAAATTCAACAGATTCCTATCACATGGGCTGCCTCCAAAAAACCGTATACACATCTGTGTATCACTAAGTGCCCGGATGTCAGCGGTGGGCATTTTGCACACCCGCTGTAGTCTGCGGGGGAAGTTATGCTGCTCGTTTTCCAAGGAAACAAGAGTTGGCACAATCCGTATGCGTGCCTCTGTGTTCCCGATGACTGAAGTGTGTGAACATTGTTCGAGACACCTTGCTTACTGCACATCGAGTGGTAACAGATGGCGGGCAACTAATGCAATATTCGTTAACTTTAGCGTGTGACAGCTATTAGCAACATCTGTTCTCTTACCTTAGGTTCCTCTTGTCTCGCAGAAAGCTGTGACCAAACATTTAACTGACACGATGAAAGCAGAAGGCTAAGAATTTGGATGTGTTGTGTAGATACAGGAGAAATCAGATGTTATTAAAAGCCCTGCGTGACCTTCTCGGTGATAGCTGAACAAACAGAAAGAATCCTGGATGACGCTACCCTGGCGAGCTCGGTTCAACCTCTGACATTCCCCGAGCGAAGGAGGATTGCTCAGTGGCTACTTCTGTGCAAGGCACGCGCTACATTTTTCTTTTTACAAACAGGATGCCCAGTTCTGCAAGATGGCTCACGCGTGGGAATGCCTCGCAGAGGTAATCCCTCGCTGGCCGGTGGGCTCGTCTTTCGAGGGCAAGGATTCTGCGGCTAAGTAACAGTCCCATGTATGCTGGTTTTAGCTGTTTTCTAGGGCAGTGGGCACCAACCTTTTTGCCAGGCATGCCATAAATTAGCCCTGCACTCTGGCTGAGCGCCACTCCAGTCCCTTTCCCGTACCCAGTCCGCTGCTCTGCTTTCTGCTTCCTGCCCAGTGCTCCCTGTCTGATCTCACGGTCTGCTTCCTGCCCATCTGGTATTATGCCTGTCCCTTTCCCAGTCTGCCCCATGCCACTCGTGGCACCCATAGCCCAGGTTAGCCACCCCCAGTCTAGGGTTTTCCCTGTATTAGCTGTTGAGGTCACATAGTTTAGTTTTCCTGTGATTTTATTCTTTGGATCGTGCCGCTCACTGCAGGAAAAGCAAGCCTTATCCTAGGTAAAGAGGGAACTAGAAATCCATGTTTGCCTTTGAAAGTCGGATTAAAACAAAAAAAGTGTGAATTGAGACCCACATAAAGACTAAATGCGGGAGTTAAGATCTGACTGTATTTGGCTTGGCTAACACCAGCGTGTGCAAGGAAACCCAACGCTTAGGCAGTTTTGCCACCGGAGCTGTTCCCCAAAGCAAAGGCGGCCGCAGCGTCATGCAGTATGTCACACATCTCCGAGCCAGTTCTTGAAAAAGTAAATATTGGCTCTTCGCACCTGTGGGATCCTCCTCCTCCTCCTCCTGTTCTCTCTTTGCTGAAATGCATTTCCTGATTCTTGGGGAGGAGAGGAGGACAGGGGTGGGAGATGGAGAAGGACCTGTGAACTGTGACTGAAGTTCGTTCCCACCTTCCAGGTTAAACCCATTTGGGAGTGAGGGTCCAGATCCGGAGGAGCATGTGAGATCAGAAGCCCAGATTGTGTCCTGCCAGGGAGATTTCTACCGGAGCGCTTTGTCTGGGCGGGGAAACCTCTAGCATCAAAAGATCACGCGTTTAGGGGACCAGGGATTAGCAGTTGTTGGCTGGGTGTGAGCATGGGTCTTGCACCCACCGCATGGATGTCCGGGCATCTCGTATGATTGTTAGCGTGCAAGGGACTGCGTGCGGAGACACAGACAGCATAAACCCCAGATCCTGCATGTTCTTCACTGTCTTACTGTGGTCCCTTTATAGAGGGTGCGGAGCTTGTGGAAAAGGCACACGAGGGGAGCCTTATCCTCAACCAGGGATTCCCTGTCCCCTTGGTTGATGCTGGAGGCGATGGCCTAACCCCGGTCAGCAAGCTCAGTGAGCAAAATCCACATTGCAAATGAACTCTCCGGCTCGTGAACGGCAGGGAGCATCCCTCCGTAGCGTTCGCTGGAGTCGGGAGGGGAAAGGAAAACTAGCAGAGCGTGGGGGTGTCGCGCAGGATCCACAACCAGATGCGACAAGCCTCGCGTCTGAATTAATCGCCTGTCGGAGGCATTGCACCGAACAGCCTGGAAGAGAAACGGGACCCGATAAAAGAGAAAGCACCTGCTGGATCGGGGTGGCCAAGAATGTCTTGACATAAATCCAGCTCTAAAGCCACGCTGCTAGCTTCGCTGCAAGGAGATGGGGGCTGGTTTTCACTTGTTAGCAGGGAGGTTTCTCCAGTAAAGCAGGGAGCTGGTAAAATGAGCTAACTCCGTGCCCATGCTGACTTGTAAATCCCCTTCGATCACTTCTAGCCGGGCAGGGTAAACGCTGCTTGTCTCAGCAGTGGTGGTGTTCAAAGTAGTCCTTCATTAATTTCCCATATTCCTTCAAATATAAGGTGGGCTTTTTGCAACCAGATATTTCTTCTGAAAAGTAAAACGCCCTTATAGATCCCGTAGAAGTTGCATCCTTGGAAATGTCTCGTGTGATTATTTTCTTGAAGTTGAGAACCTGAAAATGTGGGTGCATCTTCAAGGGCATCTTGCATTCAGAGGAATATAGCATATGAAAACTAATCACTTGCTATTGTAGGGGATTGGGAAATAACCTCTCTAGATGATGTTACTCTGCTGACTCAGGCTCACCATAGATATTAATTAAGACGTTTGATTAAGAGGATGCAACATTCTCACACTAAGGCCCCTTTGCATTGCTCTGGCTGTATCAACAGGCTTGGAAGTGGGTGTAAATAAGAACCAGACCCTCGACCTATAATACTGGGCTTTGAAGGAACAAAGTTGCAAGCTCAGCCGTTCCGAATTTAGGATGGGCCAGGCTGCAGGTTGCCTGCGTGATCTGAATTCGGCTCTCAGCACATGTGCATTAGCACAGCCTTTAGCAACGTGAGTGCACTCATAGGTGGATCACATGCTAGAAGTCACATCACTGACCCCGCAGAAGCACCGTGCTAAATGGCAAGCCCCGTCTGCAAAGGCCTGGAGGTGTCCAAGCTCCTTAGCAATGAAGCTGTTGCAAAAATGTCTGTTTTTGAACCTGCACAAAGCAGCATTTTTTTCCCCTAACTTCATTCTCACAACTTGAAAGCTCAGCCTGTGATGCTTCCCCACCGCATGGAACATCTCAGGGCAAATTCCTAACGCTTGGTAAAGCTATGAGAGAAGTCCTAACCCCAGACACTGCTCGCTGCGCTAAACATGACCTAAAGAAGGGGAAGTGTCGGGGTTGGGTGGGGGTCACCTCTGCCACTGACTTGCTGTGTGACCTAAGGCAGTTATTTGACCTCCCCGTGCCTCATTTAAATGGGGGAAGTAGGCTTGTTCCAGTGTAAAGTCACAAGTAGCAGAGGGGGAGTGTGCTGGGATGTGCAGGAGGAAGGATTGTGTTCTCAGCAAGGTAGCTAAAAATCAACATTTTTTTTTTAATCTAAAAAATCGGGCTTTTTATTTAAATCAGCTTTTTTTATTTAATTGTATTTTTTTTTTGTTAAGAAGCTTGTTTAAAACAATAAACCTATATATAGTTTTAATTTAAGATATGTTAAAGCTCAAAGATATCACGGGATAGGGATTATAACTTCTAATTATATACTGTTTGGGACAGTATACTCATGTAACCTTTTTAGAAGTTTTATAGTCCACGGCCTGCTGTGTCCTATTTATATTAGGGGCCCAATCTTATGGGGTTCCCTGAGGCTCCTCTATAGATTAGTAAAGATTCAAGAAAACCACTCTACCCAATAGGACCCAGTGCTCAGTCTAGAAGATCCCATTAAGCATCTGTGATGCTTAGTTTCAGTTCTCAAACTGGATTTGTGTCTCCAGAGATCACGTCCTTGTTAACAGCAGAATATGGAGATGAGAGATAACAGACCTGATTACCTACCCACCAACCCTCTTGTCTCTCTACAAGTTTGCAAACATACGGTCAAGCTCTTCCCTTTCTCTAAGAGTGCAAAGTTTCAAAAAGTTAAATGAATAAAGGCTATCAAACAGCAAGAATGCACTTTTTGTAGAAAACAATGACTCAAGGCAGGCCAGTTATTTGGGTAGATATCGTATCTTTTATTTGACAAACTGAGTAGTTGAAAAAAGTTCTTAGCAAGCTTTCAGGCACGGTCACCCTTCGTCAGGCATAGGGAGTCTAACTCAAGGCTTCCAGACCAGTGATTTAAATCATGATTTAAATCGATTTGCCATGACTAAGAACCCGGTGGGGCCGGATAATGCGCTCGCTAAGACGCAGGCAGGTAAGGCAGGGCATTTTGCGTCTGCAGGTGTCTGGAGGGGAGCGGGAAGTACCGGGCTCTGGAATTCCCCCCCCTAAAGATGTGTCAGAGTTAATGAATGAGTGGAAGAAGTGAGCAAGGGGCAGGTTACTCCTGGCAGCTGCAAAGCACCCGTGTCTGAATGGCTCCCACATGTGACCCTCTCTTGCGTTTCAGTGCTCTGTTCGGAGAAAGAATTCCACGATGCCGCGAAGCGTAATGACACGGCCAGGATGGAGGAGCTGATCCGGAGAGGGGTGGACATCAAAGCCAAAAACAACGTAGGTGCTTCGGGCTTTCTGGCAGCAGCGGGACCATGAGGGCTGCAGGTAGCACAGGGGGGTAGTGTTCAGGCTGCGTCTCCATGCTCCATCATGTTACTGTCGGTTGGGCAAAGCTTAAAGTCACCCACCCAATGCCAACCCACTAGTGTGGAGCAGCTGTTACAACGTGCTGGCATCTCTGGGCAGCCTGGAAGGATTTGAAAGCTGCAATGAATGCACAGGAAGTCGAGGATCACAGCATTGTGGCCATGCTTAAGGCTATGTTCAATCCAGCCTATCCACCCATATACTACAGCGATCAGTACCTGTATCAATAGCTGAGTCCCTTGTTGTACCAAACATTTTAAGGGCCAGATTTTCAAAGAACAGTGTGCCAGCATTTATTAATATTAATCATTACTGTTATTGCCGAGGCATGTAGGAACCCCAGGCTCTATAGAGCAAGACTCAGGAGTGCCAGTCTCGGTACAAAAGCTTGGTCCCTGCCCCATGGGGCTTCCAGTAAGGGGGCAGGCCTCGCTCCAGAGTAACTTCCTGGCCCCAGTGAGGTCAAAAGGAGCTTGGACATTGACTTCAGTGCAACCAAGACTTCAGCCCAGGTCTGTAGCCACTTGGCTCCTCTCTCTCTTCCTCTCCAGATAGACAGAACTGCTCTGCACTGGGCCGCTGGAGCTGGGCACGAGCAAGCTGTGCGGCTGCTTCTGGCGCACGACATGGCGCTGGATGATGAAGACCATGTATGACCGTGCCTCTCCTTTGCAGCCTTGTTGCAGGTCGTGGGGCGGCGGGGTGGGAAATCTCATCTCAAATTCAACATAGTGCTTGGGGAATGGGTTGGGTGCGTGAGCAGAAGCCGTGTGTGCTTCCCTTGCACTGCGTCTCAGCCTTGCTCTGAAGGCAGTAGTTACTCCGGTCCTGTCTCATCCTTGGCTGCCATGCTGATGCTTCCAGCCAGGCTGCGAGGGTGGACCTGCTGTGTTAGTGGTTTGCTGGCCAGCAAGTGGTGTCCGGCCAACATATTCCCACCTGGGAGCAGTGGGCTAACAGGGAGGATCACTTTCCTATCAGCAGACTGACAGGGGCAGGAG